TGCCTCCTTTGATCCTTTTGGGAGCCGGTTTGCCCCGAAGACCCCTCCCCACTTCAGGCCCCTCAATCCCCGCAGTTGGACGCCCCCCCCCTTTTGTCCCTGGAAGAGGCGGGCGTGGAGGGTCCGCTCCTGCATCTGTGCATCCCATTTTCCAAATGTGTATATTTTATATAGATATTGCATACATTTTTCAAATGTATTGTCTATTCTGTATGTGTTGCATAAAAGAATGCAGTGTCTGTGATAACTGGTGGAGGAACCGGGGTTTGTAAATAGATGAGGAAAGACAAATCCAGGTTGACAAGTTTGGAAAGTTGCTTTCCTGTGAATTGTTTCCTCCACTGAACTTCCGTGGGACACAAAGGATGTGTTGGGGTCCCTCCAGAGGATGGATTAGGCTCCTTCCTTCCACTGGATCTTTCCTCCTGGGCAGCCCCCTCCTCAGAAGGCCTGGCCAGAGAGGACAGGGCCCTCCGTGCCTTCTCCTGTCCTCCTTAGCTGGGTGGCTCCAGAAACGCCCGGCTGCGCATTGCTGCAAACATCTGCGGGTGGGCCGCATTCAGCCCAGAGGGACGCAGCTGCATCAGCACGGGGGGGGGGGACGGGACGGGCGGGGAGTGTCCATGGGATGCCCGTGTCCCAAGGTCCCTGGCCTAAAATCCAGAACCTGCTTCCAAACTCCATCCTCTGTTTGAGTAAAGGGGATCCTCAAACGAACACGGAGAGAAGGGCAGGAAAGAAGAAAAATAAAGCTAGTCTCACCCCCAATGCAGAATCAATCCCAAGTGTGTGGGGGGAGGGGTTCCCAGGGAAAGTATAAGACCCCCCCAGCCAGCCTCCCCTCTTCACTCCTGCCATACAGGTGCCCCTTTGGCAGAGGAGAGGCTGCCTCCCCCTGGCTGCAGAGGCTCCAGGAGGGGTCCTGGCTGCAGAGGGCATCTCCCCCCCCCCTGCCCCAGCCATGAGCGGTTCAGGTGCCCTGCCTGTCTTTGGGGCAACCCTTCGCCTGCCAGGCTCCCAGAGGGGCAGCATTTGCCAGCTGGGGCTGCTTGGAAAGGCAGCAGGGCAGCTCTCCATCCTGCACAGGATGGCACAGGGTTAAAGGAGGCCGCCTTTCGGTCATGGAGATTGGGCCGACACTCTTAAAGACGCTCCTTCATCAGGGCAGAGGACCCATGATGCCCAGCCTATCGGGGAAACCCAGACGTTTTAGAGACATGTTGCTAATAAAATTGCTGAACCTGCTACGCCATATATAACTTTTATTTTTGCAGAAACCTCCTCATTAGAAGGAAACATGGGACGGACACACACACAGACACACACGGACACAGACAGACAGACAGACAGAGGCAGAATCAAGAATGAAATCCACGTGGGGAAGATCCCACATTTGAAGCATGAAGCTCACCAGGTTTACGGAAAATCCTGGGCTCCCTTGGGGGTTGCTGTGTCTTTCCAAAGGTGGCCGAAGGGATTCAGCCTGCTTGACTGGTCATCCAGCTGAGATTCCTTCCTTCCCTCCCTCCTCTTTCTCCTCCTGTCCCTCCTTCCTTCCAACCTCTATGCCCAACATTGCACCATGTGCATTCTTAGCATTTAGGCTGCTGGCAAAGGGGAACCGGAGCAATCCCGTGGCATCCTCATCTCTTCCGAAGGTCAAAAGGAAGGGAGAGCAGGTTGTGTGCCTGTCCTTCCGCCCTCTGCCCAGGCTCCTCCTGCCCTGGGGCAGCTCCTGCAGGAAGCTTTGGGTCCTATGTTGTCCCTGGGTGGAAGGCCACCAGCCCAGCCCATGAGCTCGGCTCTGGGCTGCCGCCGTCCAACCGTCAGGTCCCAGTTATGAGATGCTGCTCCTCCGCCTCAGGAGACAAGGGGAAGCCGCCGTTCGGCTGGGCAGGTCTTCTTCGTGGTCACTTTCGCAACGGCGCTGAAACAGAGAGCAGTGAGATCTTCAGGCTGGAGACCTGCTGCTGCTGGAGAAGTCCTCTCTTTCAGGACCATCCAGCTGACGGGCACAAGGACCAGCCCGAGGGCCTCTTCCTTGGCAAGACCAGCAAGGGGAGCCTGAGCCAAACTCCTCACCAGGATCAAGCAGGAGTGAAATCCTCCCGGTTCGGTCTGGTTCAGCCGGACCGGTAGAGACGATTGTCCCTGGTTCTGCAAACCGGTAGTAAAAAAAAGTTTCCAACAATCGTGTGGCTCAGCTAGAAGCCGCCTGATCATGGAAAGGCCCCCCCCCCCCGCTTTTTAAAGCATTTTTTTCCTACCAGTTCGGTTGAATGGGCAGGAAAAAATGCTTTAAAAAGTGAAAAAAGGTTGACCACGCCCACCCAGCCACGTGACCCCTCCTCCCACCAAGCCACGCCCACAGAACCCGTGGGCAAAAAAAACTGGATTTCAAGGCTGGGATGAAGCTGGGTTGCTGCTGCTGCTGAGAGAGTTTTGCTGCAGGACAGTCCTGCCCTACAAGCTTCTGGGACATGGAGGGGAAACGTCCGTCTCCCAGGAGGTGCTGAAGGGCATTCGGGGGGGGGTTAGCAAGTGCAGTCCAGCCGGCCTGGGGCAGCCAGGTTCCCCAGGCTGGTTCTAAAATCAGCCAGGTCCCTGCACCTCTCAAGATCTCAACAGAGGAGGAGGAGGAGGCATTGCCAGACCCCCAGGGAGCCCAAGTGGACTCTTCACTTGCCAACTCTTTGTGCTCGACCCACTTACCAAACTGTCTTCTTGCATTAAGCGAACTTTTCGCACCAGCGAGCGAGATAAATGGTTGCAGAGGGCCACAATGCTGTAGGTGAGCTGGGGAGGAGGAAGAGGCAGTCGGTCACAGCCCAGGAACCCAACTCAGGGACCCCCTCGTGCTGATAAGCAATAGCCGCCTCTGGAAGCCACGGCAGGAAGGTTTATGCCACGCTCTTCCCCCACCTCTTGGCTGCCTCTCTTCCTCCTCCTGAAAGTCTAAGCCACCCGGGACAAGGAGCAAGCGAGGCCCTTCTCCAACAAGGCTTGAGTTCAGAAACCTTCCCCCACTTTACAACCAGGAGGAGGAGGAGGAGCAGAGGAAGGCCATGCCCTCCTCAAGGCCTCCTCTGGCCAGTCCAGACAGGATCCAGAGCAGCCTCTAGCCGAGGTCCCAAGGAGCCAGGCTGGTTGCCTGGCCAAATAGACCTTGACCATCGCTCTTGGGCTGGGGGCTTCCAGAGAAACCCTCTCCCTCTTTTGACTGGAGCCCCTGGTTCTCCCCCGGGAAGGAAGGCTGTTTACAGGCTCCCAAGGGAAGCTGCGTGGCACGGACTCCCTGGCAGCTCTTGGTGTCTCTGTTCCCTGCGGTCAGAGCTCAGGTTCTTACCTTCCACCGCCTCCTGGCATACTGCTTTTTGAAGTTCTCCAAGTTAATGAGCGATTCTCTCCTTACCATGGCTTGGTGGCTGTCCATGGGCTGGAGACAAGAGGCGACAAGATCAGGCCCAGACTCCCCCTCCCCCCCCCCCCCCCCAGGAGAAAGTGTTCAAATGCGCCGGGCATTGCTTGGTTCACATTTAGGTGAAGATAAAAGGTTCCCCTTGCACATGTGTGCTAGTCATTCCGGACTCTAGGGGGCGGTGCTCAACTCCGTCTCAAAGCCAAAGAGCCAGCGCTGTCCAAAGATGTCTCTGTGGTCATGTGGCCGGCATGACTCAACGCCTAAGGCACACGGAACGCTGTTCCCTTCCCACCAAAGGTGGTTCCTATTTTTCTACTTTCATTTTTTACGTCCTTTCGAACTGCTAGGTTGGCAGAAGCTGGGACGAGTCACGGGAGCTCACTCTGTTGTGCAGCGCTAGGGATTCGAACCGCTGACCTTTCTGATTGGCAAGCTCGGTGTCTTAGCCACTGAGCCACCGTGTCCCTGGTTCACATTTAGGCTGGCTTTTTTCTTAACCTCGGCCACCTTGTTCCCCTGTTTTCTCTCCAGTCCTTCCCATCCAGGTGTTAGATTTTAATCTTCCAGTTCCTTAGAGGAAGACGCATCGCCTTGTTTCTGTAACGTGCTGGACACACTAAATTCCCCGTATAAAATCACCGTAGTACCCATCACCCTGCCCTAACTACAGATTTAAATGTTTTGCCCCTGAAATAGGAGCCCAGATCCAGGTATGTAAATCTTGCCTGAGGAAGAACCACAAACAGCTGACCAAGTTGCTCTCTCAAGGATTTGTTCACTTCCTGTGTTTTTATTTATTTACTATATTTATCTGCTGCCCAACTCCGCAGGACTTTGGATGGGGCATAAACATTAAGAAGCAGCACAGCACTCAGGTGGAGGAAGCTTCAGGCCCCAGGAGGACTTTGCCTGGGTTCAAGGCTCGAGAAGATCCGAGCTTCCTTTGGTGGAGCCCACTAAGCAGCTGGCGTCTCAGCCCCCCACCTACCCCGCCCCACTTATTTCAGCCTTGGTCCCTCCCTTATCTGCTAACAGTTCCCTCCCTTTTCACCCCCTTCATGGAGCATCTTTTGAACGTTGAGTGTCGGCTGCTGCAGCCGAGCTGAGAGGGGAAGGAATCTCTGCGCGAGGAAGGCGCCCGGCCTGGGAGCGAGCAGGATTGGCCAGAAGGAGCAAGATCGTCCTTCGGGGCCTCTGAACACAAGCTCTGCCCAGAAAGCACATTGCACAAATAACAAATATTTATTGCGTCTCCTTCTCTGAGACGAGGAGCAGAGTCGGCAGAATGGAAGCTCCCTGAAGGAGGCGAGCAGAACAGCCATCCAGAGGGTGCTCCCTCTTTCCTTTCCCAATTATCCGAATACGGAAATCAGTTCTCCCTTTGCAGAGAGATCCGATGTCTTCCCTGTTGGTTGGTTTGGGGGGGAGATGAAAGTCCAGGCTGAAGGTCCTGCCTTCCGCAGCAGCCCATGTGGGGGGACAGGGATGGGAGCAGCTCCATTCGGAATCCTCCATTTATTCTCCAAGGTGTTTGCAAGATTGGCGTTCAGCCAGAGAGCCTGCAGAGAGAGAGCTTTGCAGAGCCCAAGCGACTTCGCATCTGGCTCCATTATTAAAAATAGTTCCATACGGAATTTCAAAAGGAGAGGAAATCAATGTCTATTTACAACGTCAACTCAGCAATAAATAAGAAGCTTTTAAGGATGCTGAACTGCAGTCAAGTCTTGAGGAGGCCTGGAGAGGTGAAGGTAAGCCCGGGACATCTTCCTAAGGATAAAAATAGGGCCAGCTTTGAAAAAAAAACAGGCAAAGCCTCATTAGAAATTCATTGGGACCCAACCACGGCATCCAGAACCGAAGGCATCTCCACTGGGACGTATCTTCACAGGGACAAAAATATATAAAAATGCGGTGGTAACAAGGGCCTGTCAAATAACATTGTTCAAAAATAAACCCAATCGTGTGAGTTCAACACGCAGGCCTCCTGAATGGGGCAGGCTCCCTTCCAAGCAATTCCTCACCGATTCGGACCGAAGCAGCAGCAGCAATCTCTCTCTTTTCAGCAGCATCACTGGCTGGATTTTGTCATGCTCAGGTTTAAGGCCGCCAGGAATTCTTCGTAGCAGGACCTGTTCAGCAGCTCGTTGAGGTCCTTCTGGAAGACGCAGCCGAAGCTGCCCGGCGCGTAGCCCTCGTTGCTGCCCTCGGAGCAGAAGCTGCCCGTCAAGTCCTGGATCCACCGGAGTTCTTCCGACAGCTCCTTGCTCAGCCGTTCGTAGTGCGACTGCAGGCCCCTGTACCTCCCCGCCACCCCAGTGAGGTTGGCGCCCACCGCCTGGACGTCCTCCTTCAGGTGCTTCTTCAGGGAGTCGATCTTGCGGTATTCGTACTTCAGCTGGGAAAGCTCGTGCTTGACGCTTTCGTGCTCCTCCTTGTACCAAGCTTCCTTCTCGTCGTAGATGGAGACCAGCGTGTCGAGATCCCCCTGCAAGGAGTCGTGGGAGGCGGCCAGGGTGCCGAAGCTCTTCTCCATGCCAGAGACGTCCTCCACCAGGCGGGCAAAGCGTTCGAAGGTGGCATAGGTGTTGTTTGGAGGAATGCTGGAGTGGCTTTTGATGGTGTAATCTCTCAGCCACTTGGTCTTCAGTGGCCTGTGCTCGGTCCTCCTGTGGCCTTGGACTTTGGAGCCTTCTTTGGACTGGAGAGAAGCCGGAGGAGGGTTATTGACCAAGAACATCTCACGACAAGGGTCTAAAGACACCACAACACCAACATCATCATCATCACAACAGGGTGCAAATACACACACGTGCAGGTGCCAGAAGCAAGCACCCCTCCTCCTGCCTCCTCTTCATGCACTTGGTATCTTTCTTGCAAAATCTTTGTGAAACAGGGGGCTTCCCACAAGGGAAATGACATCCACATCTCTACACAACTCTGGACTGACCTCTTGTCAAAAAAGAATCATTTCTGGAACCAGAAATTTTTTCCCACCAGCCTTTACAGCAGGAGGGCCCCCAGGAAAAGCTAAATTCCAGCCCTCGAGAGGGAACTTGGGGCAGAGCCTGCCTTACACGGGATGCCCAGCAGAGAGAGAATTGTGCGCCAACTCATTTCATGGATATCCAAAAATAAAATAAAAATTCAGATCCGTTTACAGGTGACTGCTAGCGTTCATAGCCTTTTGATATTCTACAATTGGTTTGGAATTTCCAAAATCCACCTGGGAAATGCTGACCTCAAGAGGCCCCTCCCAGCTTCGGCATGCAGGCCACGAGGAAGGGGGGACTGACCCCCACTGCGGGTCTCCCTTCCCCAAGTCCTTCCTGGAAAGTTGCACTTACAGGCAACCGGAGACGCCAAGAAGGGCAGGAGGGGAGAATTCGACATTCAACGAGACCCAAACAAGCGAAGCCGAGATGACCAACTGCATCATTCCATGCCAAGAGCCCAGACGGGTACGGACGACTCCGTGTGTGCCAGGACAGAAAATTGTATCTCAAATATGGAATAATAATATGTCCAAGAAAAGGATTTTTTTTTTAAAGCTAGGCCTGATTGCTTTATTCCTTTCCTCTGAAAAGGACCCCAGAAGAAGCCCCTGGGCAGGCTTTGCAGCCGAGAACTGCAACGGATGGAAGGATTCCCCCAAGGGGCAGCTGATTGGCCTCCCGCTACTAAAGGATGAAAACCAGGGTGTGAAACTGAGGAAGGGGGGAGGCTTCCCCTGGCCAGGTGGGGACGGCCACACGAAGTTCTGTCCTGCTTCAGCAGCACCTGGATGTCCTCCTCCCGTCCAGGGTAAAACCTCCCAGCCCCTTCGTGACTCACCCTGATCCAGGGGTGCTTGAGTGCTTCCTGGATTGTGAGCCGTTTCCTAAAAGGGGAGAAAGAGGGGAGTGAGTCCCTTGTGGGAAAGAGCTGCCAGCGAGAAGCATGTGTCAAATGCCTCCCCCACCTGTGGAAAGGAGACCACCCGGTGCCTCCCTGGGCTTAAACAGGGGCAGTCCAGAAAGTGCATGGGAGGGGGGGCACCTAAGCCTGTTTATCTACAACCAAAGCATCTTCCATGGCTGAAAGCCACACAGGGGCTCACGGGAAATTCATTCCTAGATTCGGGGCCCAGGAAGAGAACCCCATCAATGCCCAATTCTTCCTTTTCGGCGGGTCTCTGGCAGCCCCGATCAGCAGAGCCCTTCGCCCCCGCCCCCCGCACTGAACCGAGATGGCCTTCCCCTTTCCCCCCTTGAGCCCCCGTGAGGCATCTTAAGAGCCCCCAGAAGTTCTCCAGCTTCTTCTCAGATGCAGGGATCATCTAGGCACTGCCTGGGCTGGATGCCGGACCCTCAACCCAGGCCATCTTCTGTCCAAACGCTCAGGACGACGTACCGCGTATCTTTCACCAGAAGTTTCCGGATGAAGTCTTTTGCCAGGTCGCTGGTGTGGCTGAAGAATTCTTCATCAAATTCGTAGCTGACGGCGGTGATGTTGGCCAACGTCTCCTGCTTGGTCTCCCCAAGGAACGGAGAAGCACCACTCAGCCTGCAGGGGGAATTGGGGGTGGGGTGAGTGGGTTGCAGGGAGGGAGGGAGCGAGGGGGGGGGGGGCAGAGCATCAGGAGCAGATTTGGCAGGCCGGTGGAGGCAGAAGGTGCCAAGTACCATGGGCAGAGGAGAGGGCCCTGGAGAATCTTGTTACGAAACCAAGACAAGCATTTGTGTTGCCCAGGAAGGCTCCCTGGTGGCTCAGTTGGCACAGGGAGGGAGGGAAGGAAGGAAAGAGGGAAGGAAGGAAGGAAGGAAGGAAGGAAGGAAGGAAGGAAGGAAAGAGGGAAGAAAGGAAGGAAGGAAAGAGGGAGGAAAGGAAGGAAAGAGGGAAGGAAGGAAGGAAGGAAGGAAGGAAGGAAGGAAGGAAGGAAAGAGGGAAGAAAGGAAGGAAGGAAAGAGGGAGG